CAACCAAAAGACACAGGCTCACTGAATGGATACAAAAACAAGACCCATATATATGCTGTCTACAAGAGACCCACTTCAAACCTAGGGACACATACAGACTGAAAGTGAGAGGATAGAAAAAGATATTCCATGCAAATGGAAATCAAAAGAAAGCTGGAGGGCTTCCCTGGTGGCGCAGTGGTTGAGAGTCCGCCTGCCGATGCAGAGGACACGGGTTCGTGCCCTGGTCCGGGAAGATCTCACATGCCGCAGAGCGGCTGGGCCTGTGAGCCATGGCTGCTGGGCCTGTGCGTCTGGAGCCTGTGCTCCACGACGGGAGAGGCCACAACAGTGAGAGGCCCGTGTACCGCAAAAAAAAAAAAAAAAAAAAGAAAGCTGGAATAGCAATACTCATATCAGATAAAATAGACTTTAAAATAAAGAGTGTTATAAGAGACAAGGAAGGACACTACACAATGATCAAGGGATCAATCCAAGAAGAAGATATAACAATTATAAATACATATGCACCCAACATAGGAGCACCTCAATACATAAGGCAAATGCTAACAGCTATAAAAGAGGATATTGACAGGAACACAATAATAGTGGGAGACGTTAACACCTAACTTACACCAATGGACAGATCATCCAGACAGAAAATTAATAAGGAAACACAAGCTTTAAATAATGACACAGTAGACCAGACAGATTTAATTGATATTTATAGGACATTTCTAAAAACAGCAGATTACACTTTCTTCTCAAGTGCACATGGAACATTCTCCAGGATAGATCACATCTTGGGTCACAAATCAAGCCTTGGTAAATTTAAGAAAATTGAAATCATATCAAGCATCTTTTCTGATCACAATGCTATGAGATTAGAAATGAATTACAGGGAAAAAAACGTAAAATACACAAACACATGGAGGCTAAACAGTACGTTACTAAATAACCAAGAGATCACTGAAGAAATCAAAGAGGAAAACAAAAAATATCTAGAGACAAATGACAATGAAAATACAACGATCCAAAACCTATGGGATGCAGCAAAAGCAGTTCTAAGCGGGAAGTTTATAGCTATACAGGCATACCTCAAGAAACAAGAAAAGTCTCAAATAAACAATCTAACCTTACACCTAAAGGAACTAGAGAAAGAAGAACAAACAAAACCCAAAGTTAGCAGAAGGAAAGAAATCATAAAGATCAGAGCAGAAATAAATGAAATAGAAACAAAGAAAACAGTGGCAAAGATCAATAAAACTAAAAGCTGGTTCTTTGAGAAGATAAACAAAATTGATAAAACATTAGCCAGACTCATCAAGAAAAAGAGGGAGAGGACTCAAATGCTTCATTCTATTATAGTCATTTTCCTGTTATGCTCTAATTGTCTCGTCTTAGGCCAGTGGGAGCTACTTCAAGTTGGCTCCTGTGTCCTTGGACTGACCCCAGTTGACTTAGATAGCTTCCTTTCTTCCTGGTACATCAAGATGTCCCATGTTCGTCTTGTACATTTTCTGTCCCAGACCTGGAATCAGTAATTTCTTTAAATAGACTCCAGTCTTTTCAGTGGGAGATGGTATTGGCAGAACACTCTTGCATGCTAAGATGCTCATGCCTCACGATGTCTTTGCTTCACGGTTTCAGTAGACAAATCTAGAAAATGCATGCTCTTTTTTTTTAAAGAAAGAGGGGTTTATATTAGTAAGTTTATATTACCATTTCCAGTTAAATTTACTGTTACTGGGCTTTAATTTCTTTGATTTCTTTACTTGTATATTCCCTCTGTTAGGCTTAAAAATCTCGGTTTCTAATGACATTAACGTGATAACATGTGTTTAATCTTACAGTACTCACACTCCTATGATACTGTCAAAATAACACTACCAATATTACTAACAATTAAGCTTCTGGATATGGTTTTAGGTTCGATGGATTTTGACAAGTGTATACAGTCATGTAACCATCACCATAAACAAGATATTTCTGAATATACAAATGGACAATGGCCAGATTATATATAAAAATAGAACTCTGCCCCACCACCTGCAGCAACCAGCTGAGGAAGCCATACTAGTATGTTCAGTAACCAGTCCAGGAAGTCAAACTACTATCTGTAGCAACCAATCTAGAAAGCCTAATAATAGCCCCTGTAGTAATGGGCCCCAAATGACCAGGACTTGATTAATAACCCAGCTTCCCTGATTTTGGCCCCCACTTCTGACTTAGGACCAACTATAGAGAAAGCCATATACATACCTTTAACCAATCACCTAGTATGCTTGGCTTCTTGTTAGCCCGCCAACACCTCCCCCATGCCAATGACCTCCAATCAGGACTCTTCCTCTAAAGATGGATATTCGGACTATTTGAAATATTTCACTCTTGCAAACAATGTCACATGCCTTATGCATTTGTCATTCTGTATCTTTGCCAAAGTACCTTTGGGATGCCTTTGAGTCCTAGAAATAAAATTTCCATATCAAAGAGTAAATGTATACGTAGTTCTGCAAGATATTCTCAAATTCCTCTCCTATCAGATTTGTACTCTCTTGCATTTCCAATAGCCGCGAATGAGGGGAACTCTTTTCCCATTCCCGATGGGATATTGTCAAAGTTTTGAATTTTTTCCAATAGAGAGGTAAGAAACAGGATCACACTATATATTTAATTTGTATTTCTCCTATTATGGGCAAAGTTAAGCATCTTATCATATGTTTAAGTGTCATTTGCAATTCTTTTTCTATGTATGTATCTTTTACTAATTTTTCAGCAAATTGCAGTTAGTTTTTTTAACTCTTCAATTTTAGGAGCAATCTGTATATGAAAGATATAAATGTATTGCTACATAACTTGCGCTTTTTCCAGTTTGTCATTTGTCGTTTGATTGAATATAGTTTTTCTTTTCATGCAAAGGCTTCTTATATTGATGTAGTTAAATTAATCATTTTTCTTCATTGTTTCTAGATTTGAGTGATAGCTAGGAGTTTTCCCCACTCTCAGTTTATAAAAAAATTCACCCATGTTTTCTTCTAGTAGATTTAAAGTAGTCCTTTTTTTCTTTTTAACATTTTTATTGATGTATAATTCACACACCATGCAATTCACCAATTTAAAGTGTACAATTCAATTATTTTTAACATATTACATTATTTTTAAAAATTATGGTATAATATATATAACATTAAATTTGCCATTTTAACCATTTAAAAATGTATAATTCAGGGCGTTAATTACATTCACAGTGTTGTGCAACCATCACCACCATCTATTTCCAAAACTTTTTCATAACCCCAAACAGAAACTCTATAACCATTCAGCAATAACTCCCCATTTTTTCTTCCTCCCAGCCCCTGGTAACTGCTAATCTACTTTCTGTCTCTGATTTTGCCTAGTCTATATATTTCGTATAAGTGAAAGCATACAATATTTGTCCTTCTGTATCTGGTTTATTTTACTTCACGTATTTTTGATGTTCATCCATGTTGTAGCATGTATCAGAACTTCATTGCTTTTTATGGCAGAATAATATTCCACTGTATGGATATATCACATTTTGTATATCCATTCATCTGTTGATGGACACTTGCATTGTTTCCATATTTCGGCTACTGGGAATAATGCTGCAATGATTATTGGTGTACAAACATCTATTCAACTCCTTGCTTTCAATTCCTCTGGGTATATACCTAGGAGTGAAATTGCTGGGTTGTTTGGTAATTCCATGTTTAGCTTTTTGAGGACACGTCAAACTGTTTTCCACCATGGTATACCATTTTACATTCCCATAAGCAATGTATAAGGGTTTCAGTTTCTCCACATCTTTGCCAACACTTCTTGTTTTCTGTATTTTTTAAAAATAGCCATCCTAGTAGGTGTTAAGGGGGTTACATTTTGGTTTTGATTTGCATTTCCCTAATGACTAATGATGCTGAGTTTCTTTTCTTGTGCTTACTGTATACTTTGCAGAGATGTCTATTCAAATTTCTTGTCTATCTTTGAATTAGGTGTTTGTCTTTTTGTTACTGAGTTGTAGGAGTTCTTTACATTAAACCTTTATCAGATATACAATTTGCAAATGTTTTCTTTCATTCTGTAGGTCTGTTTTTCACTTTCTTGATAATGTTCTTTGATGCAAAAGTAACTCTGTTGAAGTCCAATTTATCTAATTTTTCTTTTGATGTCATAAAAATCCATTGCCAAATCTAAGGTCCCAAAGATTTACCCCTATGTTTTCTTCTAGGAGTTTAATGCTTTCAGGTTTTACATTCACACCTTTAATCCATTTTAAGGATATTTGTGTATGCTGTAAGAAAGGGGTTCAGTTTCTTTCTTTTGCATGTAGATATCCACTTGTCCCAGCACTATCTGTTGAAGAGATGATTTTTTCTCTTTTGAATGAACTTGGCATCCTTTCCAAAAATCAGTTGACCATAGATGTATGAGTTTATTTCTGAACTCTCAGTTCTATTCCATTCATCTGTATGTCTATCTTTATGCCAGTACTATACTGCTTTGATCATTATACCTTTGTAGTAAGTTTTGAAATTGGGAGGTGTGAGTCCTCAAACTTTGTACTTCTTTTTCAAGATCGTTTGTCTATGTGGGGTCCCTTGCAGCTCCATATGAATTTGACTGTTGACTTTTCCATTCCTACAAAAAAAGCCATTGGAATTTTGATAGGGATTATATTGATCTGCAGATCACTTTGGGTAGTACTGACATCTTGACAATATTAAATCTTCCTGTCCGTGGAAACAGGATGTATTTCCACTTATTTAGACCTTTCAAGATAATTTTTGATACCCCTTAGTAGAATACTAGTTTAGGCAAAACCATCCAACTCCTTCCAAAGTTACCAAAGGCAAAAGTCGAGAATATTGAATGAATGCAGTGAAACACATTTCACTGCAATTCACAAAGCATCACTTTATTTTCATATGAATAGTAGTCACTGATAAAGGGAAAAAACAAAATCATGACTATCAATATTTACTTAGGGAACCATTTTCATAGAACACTGATGAAGGAACATGGTATACATATTCAGAGTGACAGGGGACACAGGGACAAGCACACTAGATTGAAAGCATAAAAGCATATTCTCATAAGGACCAAGCAATCCTTGTTGTTGGAGGACCAAATGGAATCATCATTAATGTAAGTAGAATCAAAGTTCACGATCCGTAAGTCCTTCTTAAGGTATGCATGATTCAGCTTGTTTACAGTTCGAACAAAGGCATATTTGGAAGCACAACTATATGCTTCCAAACTGTACACTTTCTTGAAGTGCAGATCAAAAAATGGATTGTCCTAGAAGAAAAAGAGAGACATGATTTAGTTTGTAGCCAGGAAAGTAGCTAGATTTCCTGGATTCTCTCATATTGATTGTTATATTGATTGTAAAGTATCAGTATCAAACATTTTCCCAAAATCTACAAATGAGCTTCCCAAAACTACCCGTTTCAAACATGTTGCTTCTATAAAGAACAATAAGAAAGATTCTTTTTGAAGCATCTGTGATTTTTCAATTATGCAAATAAATATGTGTCAAAATGTGCAGTTACCAAGTCTTCCCAGGGTAGTGAATTTGAGAGGATGGATGGGGATGGAAGAAAAGAATAAACCCAATTATAGACTTCCACAGGAGAGAAAAGATTTCTCCTTTTCTCTACTAGGAGGTCAGTCCCTTGTGCTATTTCAATAGTAGAAGGGGGAAATACAGAATGGCTAAGCAGCCTTTGGCGTACAACAGATCACCAACTTGCTGGCTTTGAAGTTAATAGCAAGGATCATTAAATCATTTGACTGAAACGGACAATTTACTAAAGACTGACTCACTGGATTGCTCTAGGCTGTATACTTCTAGTGGAGATGTTTCAGGGAAAAGTAGGCATCAAACCCGACCTAGGTCCTACATGTTAAAATAATAATCATTGCTACTGTTACTAATAGCAGTAACAACTATGCATTGCATTTATAAAGTGATTTTCAATTTACAAAATGCTTTCGCATTCATTATCTGCCTGACTCCTAACTCTCTTTGAGGGCAGAGGTTTTCAGTTATTTATCTTTTGTGTATCCACTCAACAAATGTGTGTTGAACTGATCTGAAGTCATCCTATAAAAAGAGAAGTGGAGGTAAACATTGCCCTAAATGATAAAGAGGCAGAGAGACCAGACCAAGCAAAAGTATTAATGACTTTTTACCATGAGGTGTGTAAAGTTTGTATATAAGAACGTATGTATTCGCAATTTCTTTTTCAAATAGGAAAATTCTTAGAGGAGACAGGAAAAAGAACAAGGGTTTTGGAGTTAGCCAACCATTTTGACTCTGATGTAACCATGGGCAGGGCACTTATTATATTTGGCCTTCACTTTTTGGATAGGGTTGCTATGAAGTTTGTATGAGATTAATCATTTAAACTGTGATACTAGCATGGAGCTTAATGAATGATAATTCCTTTTCCCAAATCTGTCCCCAAAGATTGTGATACTGGTGTTAATATCACCTTGCTTTACACTATTAACATTTTTAAAAAACAAAACAATACTTTAAGAAAAAGAATGTACAAGGGTGTTGTGATTTTAAGTACAATGTTCTCTAGTCACACCTTGCAAAATGTTTCCTAGCTGTCATGATTGCAGATTGAAGGACAGTTCTTTAGAGAATCTCAATGAAAGGAAATCACACCCATTCCATCACCAGATACTAAGCATACTCCTTATGTAGTTTCCTCACAGAAACATTTACTCCTTATCATGTAGAAAATATCCTTTGTTCTTTTGAGATACTTGGAGAGGATTAAGTTTTTCCATTAGCCTGATAATTGAAACCTAAGCAGGTATGAACATAGAATACAAGTTCGTCCATCTGTCCCTTCCTTCCTTCCTTCCTTCCTCTCTCCCTCTGTCTCCCCCTTCCTCTCTCTTTCTTTCTTTTGATAGAGCTAAAAGGGAATCTCATTGTTCATTCAGTAATCCCTTGTTTATAGTAGATTAAATATAATATAATATAATGTAATGTAATAGTGAATAATAGTTTCCAGAGGGGTGAAGCCCAGGTCACACATGTAGTTATTGACAGAGCCAAGACAAGGACTAAGCTCTCACTCAGCCCAACCCCATTTCCTGCTACATCATTCTCTCTTCTGTTGCACTACGTCAGTCTCCAAATCCCCAGTCATTCTGATTTCTCCTTTATAAATTGACTTCAATTTCAATTCCATTCCATTTTAAAGTTGACAACTTTTGGCTTGAAATAGCTCTATTTAAAACTGTATCATTGCTATCGAGAAAAATATAATATATGCTGACTCCTGAGGATTCAATTACAAGAGGGAGGACAAGTGGAAATTCCCAGAACAACTGAGATATTTTTACTTCATCCACAGAAAAGAAATATTTAAAAGAACTACTCTTTGGATATTATAGGTTTTCTTCTGGCAGTTTAATATTTTAGGCCCTAAAGTGATCAGAAAAATAGAAATACTCAATTTCCCTTTTGTATCTAGTTCACTATGAAAGATAACAATCTTCAAATGGGAAAGGGAATAATTAACAACATAGAGATGGAATTAAAGGCCAGAAAGGTGAGGAGAAAATAGAGCAGAGCTAGCTGCTTCCAATGAATCTAAGCTGACAGGCTTGATTAATACATCCCTGGGCACTGACCAAGCTTATAGAAAATAATTATGACATTAGTAACAATTGGGGTATTACTCTTGGGGTTGGTATAAAAGATGGGGTCTGTAAAATCTTTCTTTCTTAGAAATTTATTTCCTAGTTCTGTAAAAATGGTTGTATTAGATGTTCTCTATCATTTAATAATATACTTGCAGACTAAAAGATATAAGTGCTGTATAATTGGCTGTATAAAATCAGCTAATTATGTTAAACTAGCATATCTACCTTTATTCATATTCATATTCATATTCATTTGAATATGAATAACATATTCAAATATGTTATTATGAATAACATAATTCAGGCTGTCATTAGCCTGAATAGAAAGGCCTTTAAAATTGATTTTTTTTAGAAAGCATTTGAATGCATTTTGTTTGGCATTATATTTATTCAATAAAGTATTTAATTAGTGCTAAGTTGGACCCTGTTGCTAAGCCCCAGCAAGCAATCATCCTAGATAGGGTTAAACCCCCAGTAAAATTGCCATATTGCACATGTCTTAATGAAGTTTGAATGTTAAATAAATTGTATATTCACTTGAGGACTTGAGAAAAAATTAAGAAAATGGTCAAAAAAAGAGGTGGGCATGATTAATTCTTGAAACTACAGATTAGTGAACTTGACACTGACTTGTGATAAAATTCAATGCAGTATAGAAATTTTGGCAAATACCTAAAAGTATATAGAAGAAAATACTTTAAAAATTTGTACCCCTATGACACAGAGATAATTATTGTTAAAGTACTGGTTAGTTTCATATATACATTTACATACCCACATACATTTTTTTTGTATTAAAATTTAAGGTTCAGCTTTCAATTTTCAATACTATTATAAATTAAATATGTAAAATGAGATAATATTATAGAAAAGTTTTGTATTCAGCTGACTTTTAAAAAACGTATTAAGTGGTGAACAATTGTGTTCTGAGGTATTCTTTTGGAAACATGACTTTTAATGACCATGTAATGTTCCAGCATAATGACATGAAAAAATATATTTAACTATTTCCTAAGTGTTGAACATTTAGGTAGAATATAATGTCAGAAAAAATGCTATGTGATTACTTAGGAAAGAAAGCAATGAAATCCAGCATGCCTTCACCAAGAAGTCATGCCAAACACACCAAATTTTAAAAATAGGATTCCTAGGTGATAAGATAATAGCCGATAACATATATTGATTTCAGTAAAGATCTTAAGGGAAAAATTTAGATAGTCAGACTAGATAATTAATAAGGCAGAATTAAGTGGCAGAATTAAGAGCTTGTGTCCATCTAACTTACCACTGTATCCTCAGAGCCTAGCAGAGCCTGGTATACTATAAATTCTCAGTGAGTGACTGAATACACAAATTTGTAGAGATGATAAACAACCAGTCCAAAGAAGACAAATTGATAGATTTGGAGGTAAAGCCTAGTTCCATCTCTAGAGTAGTTATTTGATCTTAGGCAAGTCAGTTAATCTCTTTATGTCTCATTTTCCTCATCTGTAAATCAGGAGTAATGATAGAATCTAATTCATGGAATTTTTGTGACAATTATGTGAAGTTATATATGGAAAGAGCTTTTTGTGGTTCCTGTCATCTGGTAAGAGTTTACTGAGTGTGAGATGGTAGCAGGTAGCAGTACTACTAGTAGTGGTAATAATAGTAGTAGTAATGATAACCTGTCAATTACCTAGAGGTATGCACTTAGCCCTGCCTGCTTCATCATTTTTATTATTGACTTGAATGAAGTCCTAAATGCTGTGTGCATTAAATCTGCATCATACTATAGTGAATATTAAAAAATCAAAATATTAGAAGATTTGATAGGTAGGAACAATAGGCCAACCTAAGAATATGGCATTTAATCAGATTAAGAATAAATGAGCTTAAATTCTAATTCATCCAACAATAACAGAAATATTTATTGAGTCCCTGATAACTGCCAGGCAGAAGGCTACAATAAAAGATGAAAAGGAATGGTTACAGTTTTTTATCCAGAGGGGAGACAGAGTAAGCCAACAGTTGGAGTTTGTTGGATTATTTACATTCACTGTGCAATGGGGTTATAGGGCAGGGGGACATGGGTAGGACTTTACTCCATGGGGAATCTGAGAATGGGGTGAGGGATGGAGGTGACTGAGCTTTCTAAGCCCCGAGAGTATTAAAGCACCTTTGCTGTATAAAGTTTTAGGAGAAATGACCAGATATAAAGAAGCCAGATCATGAAGGGCTTTTATCTAGATTTTATTCCATGTGCGTAGAAGGTGCGGCAGATCAGGTTAAATGGCAATTCATGCCCAAAAGACCTGAGGTCTCAGTTGAGTGTTTACTAGAAATAAGAATCCAGATCAAAGGAAATAGAAACTGGTCACGCTAATTCTAAAGTATTGTATTTAATTCTGGAAAAGCTGAAACATTCCAGAGGAGAAGAGATTGCATAGTGAAGGGTGTTGCAGCAATGTCATGGGAGAAAATAACAACAGCGCTATGACCTCTTAGTGTTTGTATAACCTGTCATATTAACTTATTTGATCTTCATATGAACATTATTTAAAGAATGAAATGGTTACATTTAACCCAGAAAAGAGAAAACTTGAGGGAACCTTATTAGTGTCTTCAAACATTGGAAAGGCTGCTATGTGAAAGAAGGATTGGGTTTGTTCTGGTTGGTTCAAATGACGATGCTAGGACTGATGGGTGGATGTTATAGTGAAGGAGATTTTAGTTAAACATAAGTGGGACATGTAAAAATAAAGGATGTTAATTTGGAAGTAGAATGGATTTACTCATGTGGTAATGAGTTCTCCATCAGTAGAAGAGTTCAAGGAGAGACTGGGAAAACAACTTTCAAGTGGTCACACAAGAGATTAAAGTACACACCCTTTCCCCACTTTCAACACTGAGGTTGTAGGATTTCCAAGGGTTATTGATCCTTCCAGAGGATCATGCAGCTAACTGACAGTAAAATCTGAAGAAGATGAGGAAAGGAATCCCCACAAATTATGGAGGAAACTGGGCTGGGAAGAGAGTGGTGGTGGAAGCATCAGATATTTAAAGTTTCGTAACTGGCTGGAAGATTGTGTTTAACCTGTTAAGAAGACCTTGGGAAAGATGCTTTAAATCTAATCGAAAAAATTCAAATTTAAACTCATAAAAACAGAACAAACAAACCAGTAGATCATCCCAGTAGAGTAAACTGTACCACTTAAGAATAATATGTCATTTTAACTCTCAGTACATGCCAAAAATATATGAAGTAAGATATTAACCATAAAGGTCCCCAGCATATTGATCCCATATCTCCCTTACAAAACATAACACTTACTGTATCTGCTTCTTTTCCATCGATCATCCGCAGATCGTTCAAAGACCACTTTTTGGTTACTTCATATTTTTCATCTAAACCTATTCTGTAGTGTTTCACCATAATTATTTTTACTTCTTCATTTTTGGTCACTGTAGGACAGAAAAACACTTCGTTTACCTAGACTCTTAGAAGATAATAAATTATTCATCATCATATTTTTCTGTATTTATGAATCTCCTTTTCCTATAATAAGCTTGAACGTACATTGTATCTGCACCCCGGTTATGAACCCTGAGGTATCTGAAGCTTCATGAGTATGCCCTCAAATTTCCTCAGTGTGTTAACTTTATTTTTGCTGCAATTGTGGGCACATACAGCCGCGGTAATGTCTGTCAGATAGAACACCGAGCTCTGTGCTTTCAGCTCTGAGCTTTGTGGTGGAGGATAGAGTTCAACTCAGGGCAGGAAATAGGAGGCTTAGTGTGAGCATACAGTCAGTGCCAAAGTGTTTACCAGAACAAGTTGGAATTTTAATTTATGACAATATAAGAAAATGAGCACAGGAAAGTAAACAGTTCTGCTCACACAGCAACCCACTGCTGAAGACTGACCATGCAAATACTTGTGCACACTTTTTTTTTAAGTTGCTGTGAGATTTTTGATGTAAGAGTGCTTGCAAAACAGCAACTACTGACCTATTTGGTATCGTTTGAGATTTTTAATCCTCCGTAGTGTGTATCCAAAATCCTAGTATTCAAAATGTGCCATCGAGACAAAAAACTTTAGTACTATACTTTGAAAGGTATGGGAAAATCATTGCTTATTTTATGTGAACAACATGAGGGAAATAATTTCCTGGTCTTAAAATCGTAGTGTTTGGTCTCATATGAACACATTAGAAGAATCAACATTTGATGTTAGAGTTCCTGGACTGAAAGTTATCAATGAATTCCCAAGGGAGTATTTACTGGGTATCCACTATTTGCCTGATAGAACTATTACAAATGCCACAGGGAGTAAAAGTATGAGACATGGTCCCTGCCCTCTGAAAACTTATGGTTTTGTTGAAGAGACAAGGCTAACACACATGTGTCACATAAAATATATAATATGAAGGTATACAGGTATGTTATAAAGAGGTGGCAGTGGGAATTGAATATCTTAAACTTTCAAGATGGATGATGTCACTTGGAGAGTTACAAGCTGGTTCTGTCTTCTAAGAATGAGACTGGAATTTGTCTTTGGGGAAGACTCTCTTCTGGTTCTGGAAAGCATCACTTTGGCATGACCCCTAGTTAAGAAGATTAAAACAATATATTACAATATAATCATAGGAATAGATAAGCAATATGGAACAGACTATATGTTCAACAGAAGTTCTAAGAAGGGAGAGGATTTGAATAAAGGAAATAATTATGGAAGAAATAGAATTGGAGATAGAGCTTTAAAATTAGTAAAGGCAAGGATGATACTGACGGCATTTCTAGGTGAAGGACAGTATGACAAAATGAGTAGACAATAGACCCTGAACTTCACCAGGTAGGATTAGAGACAGTGGATTGTATAGATTGATTGGTGTTAGGATATGGTGGACAACAAGGTTAACCAGGTTGTGAAAATGTTTTGAAAAGTGACAGAAACCACTGTGGACTCATGGTGTCTCAACCCCCCTCTGATGGGAGGCATTGGAATCTGGCCTGGACAGTAAGGGCTCCAGAGTTGGGACCGGTGAAGGGAGTAGTTATCCTCTGTAAGTGCAGGTGATACCGAAATTAAGGCAAACAGTTGAGCTTAGACTTCATGATGGAGCTGAGCTCAGTCTCCCAGAGAAGGGAGTCTGAGCAGGTTGACAAATCTAAGAAGAGGGCACTATGTCAGTTCAGTGAAAGCTCATACTGTAATACATATTCAGTAAGTCTCTTTCCTCCTTGAACAGGAGACTAATACAGTGGTGCCCTGTTGAAGGAGTATTTTTCTGGAATCAGTGATGCCCAGGATACACTGAAGAAGAAAAGGAAGAAGAACCGGAGGTCCCTAGAAGAGGCAGTGTATCTTAGTGGGCTCTGGCATTAAACATTCCGGATTCAAATCATGACACCACTTCTTACAGTGTGGTCTGTAATCTCATTATTTAATCTCTAGAGAGATTAAACCTCAGTTTTCTCATGTTGTAAAGTGGACATCAGAGTGACACAAACCCATAGGGTATAAAGATTAAAGTATACAAATGACTTAGAGTAGTGCCTGGTTTATAGTAATTGTTTCCGTTTTTTGTTTTGTTTTGTTTATGAGGCTGTTGTTGGAATCTAGGCATAGGATGTAGGCAATGGAAATAGAGGTGGTAAATCTAAGTTAGATTTTAAATGAGGCATTCACAACACTAGATGGAAACCAAATACGTAAGCATGGTTGGGCGGAATTGTGAATTTAGTCTTTGATGTACAGATGAGCTCCATAAACTATCTCAGAAGAGAAGGAGATGACGGAAGTTTATAGTTTAGGAATGAAGATACAGACTTGGGATTTTTTTGTGGGGACAGGTTTCCAAAACTAGGTTTATAAGGAAAAGAGCAGAGGAAAGAGGTGAAACAGAGTAGAGAAAAAAAAGTTGCCAGCAGAGAGGTCTAAGAAGGGGCCAGCAGAAAAGAGACAAGCCCAACAGTGCAATGCTATGGAAATCAAGAGGACAGAGAATTTCAAGAGCTGGAGACAATCCCATGAAGTTACTTTGTTGGGTAACTTTGTTCAGTCCTGGCACAGAATCTGACTTGGGGAAGATCATTGATTTCTTCCCTGAGGGCAGTTTCTCTAGAATGGGGAGGGCAGAAAACAGCTTGTAGAGGGCTCCTTCATGGACTAACTATACTGAGTGCGTACTATGCGCCAGTTCTTATGTTAGGTAGGGTTTAGAAAGAGAGATAAGAGAATAAAGGCTATGATTTAGATCACATATTCCAAGAGTCTGGAAGAGGAGTGATTGCATATTTTGAGGACAAAAGGAGTGATTGAGGGGCACGTCCTGGAGGGGACCTAGTGTGGAAGATCTTAACCCTGGGTAAGAAAACTGGCTCAGAGACTGTGAGTCTCCTGAAACTGTGCAAAATTTGGTGGGTTTCTGCCCGTGTATACTTCTCCAACCCTAAAAAGGTCCACTTCCACTGGTCTAGATGTTAGCTTTGGGAAGAGGAAAGGAAAAGAGAAAAGAAGCCATTAGGCTGGTGTGTTGAAGTGGAAGCATGGTTAATTCTGTCATACTTACTAAGGACAAGATTTTGGAGGCAGTTCCTTCCACTAGGAGGTAATTGTCTGTCCAGACAAAGGCTCTACCTCAGAACCAAATAATAATGTTCTTGTTGGCTAGCTGTCTCACTGGTGACTTAGGAAGTGGGAGAGGATGGGGAGAAATAACTGGATACTGTATAAAAATATCATTTGAAGCAAATTTCACTGCCTTATCCATATGTTATGATAACCAGCTAATTGACTGTAGACCACCGATTTGTTTCATTAATTTGATAAGTATTTGAGTGCCCCTTTTGTACAAAGCCCTGGGCTAGGCATTGAAAAAGTGCATTCCCCTATGGTACCGTTCCTGCTCTTGCTGAGATTACAGAGAGTGGGGTTTCAGAGAGAAAACACACGATCAGGTGCTGTGGATGAGGCATGGACAGGGTCTTATAGGAACATGGAGAAGGGACATCTTCATTCCACTAGGGGTCAGGGAGAGCTTCTTTTTTTTTTTTTTTTTTTTTTTTTTTGCGGGCCTCTCACTGTTGTGGCCTCTCCCGTAGCGGAGCACAGGCTCCGGACGCTCAGGCTCAGCGGCCATGGCTCACGGGCGCAGCTGCTCCGCGGCATATGGGATCTTCCCGGACCGGGGCACGAACCCGTGTCACCTGCATCGGCAGGCGGACTCCCAACCACTGCGCCACCAGGGAAGCCCCAGAGAGAGCTTCTTGAAGGAGGTTATCTGAGTTGTAAAGGACCATGGGAGTTAACAGAATGAAGAAAGGGGTAAAGGGAGTTCTGGAACAGCATGTGTACAAAAGCGTAAAATACTTGAATCTTTTGAGTCCTTACAGGCATTTAGTATTGCTGGCATGAAGGGTAGGGGTGAATAGGTGGTAGGAAGCAGGGTAGGCAGGAGCTGGTTCCTGAATGGTCTAGAATGCTACGCTAAGGAGTTCAAATATTATCCTGAAAGCTCTGTTTTCGGGGAGATTGATGAGGGTGAGGAGTGTTGTTGCTGAAGGACTTTAAGTGAATGGTCAGGCTGAGCTTTACATTTCAGAAAGTTTTCTCGGGCAGTTCTGTAAAGGATGGGTGGGAGGGAGGGAATGAAGAAAGAGATGGTAAGAAGGTAGGATCTACCAGTCATCAAGTTTTCTTACATTAATGGTCACTGTCCCACTAATAACAAACTAAGAAAATGCACGCTTTAAAAGTTAACCTTTTGATACAGTGATGCAGCACAGAGACGGTACAACCTCCTCCATTTGGCAAAGTAGTCTCCTCTGTAGCCAAGGAGGTTCCAAAAACTGTCTTTAGCCAAGAGTCAAGTCTGATCAGGCTGGAGTGGACCCAATCCCTAAGTTCCATACTTGAGTTCTGCTGCTAGCTAAAATTAAATGGCTGTATTCACATTAAGGCAACAGCAAAGTGGAAACATCACATTGTCTTAAAACAGAAATGTGTTTATATAGTCAAAATGTTAACAGAGTTGGTTTCCATAACATCAGATGTGCCGCTATCTAATTATGATTTAGTGATATCTATAGACCCAGGGACTTTCAGAATGAACCTGCTCCAGTTTCACTATTTTAGTTAGCATTTTCAGAACAACCATCTTAACTTCATGCTAACAACTTATCTTCACTTTTAATTTCAAAATAAACATTGTTGTTAATAACTGCCTCTATTATCACGGTGAAATAGTCACTATTATTCATGAGGCTAAGTGGAAAGAAGATTGGCCAAGTGAACCAATATAATTTGGCAGAACAGGAAAAATAGTAGCTCATGAGTAAACTGCACAGAAAAACTTTAAATACATAAACCACTGTCATTTTACAATCCCAGTGTTACATAATTGTTTTCATCATTGAAATTAACTAATAGGGAAAAACTACCATGAGATATCAAAGACAAGAAGCCTCAGTGAAAATGTTTCAGTGTATTGGTGATGTCTTGGGGTTGTTGAGAATGCTATTACTGATTTCATCAAAAAAGTAACTTTCAAATAATTTTTCTAGAAATATTTTAATCAAATTGATTTTGGGGCAATACTGGGTACTCTAGATTTAATGTTTGTCCCTCCTTCCCCTCAATTCCTATGTTGAAATCCTAACCCCCAAGGTTATGGTAGTAGGAAGTGGGGTCTTTCAGAGGTGATTAGGTCATGAGGGCTCTGCCCTCATGAATGGGATTAGTGTCCCTCTAAAAAGACCCCAGAGAGCTCCCTTGCCCTTTCCACCCTGCAAGGTTAGAGGGAGAAAAAGGTGGTCTATGAGGCCGCACATCCCCACCAGACACCGAATCTGCAGGTGCCATGTTCTTGGACTTCCCAGACTCCAGAACTGTGAGAACTAAATGTTTGTTGTTTATAAGCCACCCAGTCTCTAGTATTTTATTTCCTTTTCTTGTTAACTTATTTAACACTCTTTTTGTGAACAGTATAAATGATTTCACAAAATTATTCAGTTCTCCGGTTCACAGAGTAGAAGTTCTTTTTTGGCATCAACATGTAATATGTATGGAGGATTTATGCATACCATCTTCATAATTCTAGCAAATGTCATTTATTTTCAAATGAATTACCTGTGAGTGGAGAATGTTTTTCTAAATATATGTGAATACTTAAATCTGTATCTGAATATGTATACAATTTTAATTTATAAAATATAAATACTTCCATATGTTTACTGTATATTTTATTTTTATTATAAATATTTATTTACAGCATATACTATTTATACATAAATACTTCAGCATATGTTTTCACAATAGATACATTCTTTTCTGTAATTTTAACAATATAACCCCACCTTCCAATTTGGAGTAAAATTCTAGCCCTATTTGAAGTAGAATTTATCATTTTTTCCCCCTAGTTAGGATTTAAGAGGAGAGCACTATGTGTAGATGTAAATGTTATTATTTCTGGTTCAGAGAGGTCAACACCGAGGCCACAGCGTTGCCCCATATATCACAGCTGGCAGGTGGGCAAAGCAGAGTCATGTTTCACACCAGCTGTGTCGGATTCCTAGCCTTCCAAGGTCCATTCCACCATGCCCTGCTACTTCCCATCCAATCAGCCATAATCACTTAACATGCGATTTCAAGTCCTTCAGAATTTCTTTAACTCATTTGCATTCTCATCACTGCACAGCTGACTTGTCCGTTTCTTTTTCTGTACTTTATAGAGCTCCTCCCTCCTTCCTAAGAAGTTGCCGCTTTTAACAGCCAGGGATAATGATGGTCTAGGCTAGGGGAAGCTAATTTCAAGGGGAAATGACCATGTAAACCCTGATGTGGGAGGAGACAGAGGTGCCAGGAAATCCCCAGTGTAAATCCTAGCAAACTTCAGAGAGGGAGACAGGATTTAAGACATCTGCTTTTTGACATTGACCAAGTAAGTTATCAAGGCAACAGTAAATCACAATCATCTGGTTGTGAGACCCCCTGCAAAAGCCAGACTCTGATTGGATAAATAGAAAGTTTAACTTATTTAAACATATCTTCTTTAATTTGAGAAATGCATGATGGGATTTAACTACTCTAGACTTGATTCTCACAAATTTAGAACTGCTGGATTGTAGGATATAAAGAGGAAATCATAACTATATGTCTCCCTACTCCCAGAAGGTGGCCAACATTCGAAACCTGGAGTTACCTGCCTCAACAGTTGAGATATGGCCTGCTTGATTCCTATCAATGGAGATTTTCTGAGTAAAGCATAGTCAAAGATTTAGGACTAGCAAGCATCACCCTGACTTTATTTTAAATTACTGTTCTGTCTAATTGCATTTGAAATGGTCATAAAGAGATGCCACATTTGGGGAAAGTGCTCTCAAGTTGATGGATGTGATATGTAGAAGAGTCATAAAGTTCGTGAATGAACATGACTTATAATGTTAACTTTTACCTGGAATATCACAATATTGTCTTCTCTTTCTCACATCTAAGAGAACCTTGTTTTTCCTTTGCTTCTAACATGACAGAATCATTGAATTTTACTAATGAAAGTGATCACCTACTTTATGTGGCCATTGTCCAGGTGAAAACATTGAACCCTAAAGAGGTTGCCTTCACACATGTTAACAATGCCAACCCCTTGTTGTTCCAATCCTGGTTAAAAGGATTCATGTCATTTATGAAAACAGACAGCAGGTGACCCCAGCTCACAGTGTCTCTCTCAGAACTTGAGGATATTGGGGAAAAAATTACATCCATTTACAAAAATTTAATTCTAGGGGTGTTTTTTTTTTTCCATGCCAGATAGAACGAGTTAATTATATAGTTGGAGGCAGGCATTAAGATACATGTGGTAAATTAGATGTAAATAATGCCTGGTAAATAAATATGCATTATTGATTGTTCTATTTTTTATAAGTTTCTTAAAAAACACATATACGTTAATGTTATGTGATGAGTAATTAGCTTTATAAAGTAGGATTATAATAGGTATAAAATTATTAAATTTTAATGTTGGAATAAGCATATTCTCTAATATATTAAGTCAAGATACTTTGAGATATAGTGTTCTGATCGCTTGAATATAATACAGTGTCTAAAATTGTTTCATTTGAACTTTTTCCATTTGATTTCTTTCTTTTTCCTGGACTGATTTTAAGTTTTGTACCTTGCTGATATGCTAAGCCTTACACTTTTTATTTATTTGGCAAAATATGCTAGGTAACGTATTAGATAAATGTTAGTATTCTTATTATTAAGTAAATATTCGTATACTTATTAGGAATTACAGAATTTTAAAGAGTTCTTAGGACTTTCTCTAAAGATGTTCTACTTCCCTTATAGTAGCCCCTCTTGCCAACTTTTGAAAGTTCTTCTATGCAAATTATCAGGAAAGGAATTATAACTTATAACAAATTTTCCGAAAATGCTGAACTGTGTGCCTTAAAAAGCAAAGTCTACAATGAAAACTTAGAGTTTCTAAGCTCTTTCCTCCAAAGCCCCTGAAAACTATTAAAAAGCATGGATTGGGAAAAGGAAATGCTTATATTAAATTCAATAATGGCACAAGAATTTCTGTCTAAATTCAGCACAAAAATTACTGGTTAGGTAAATCATAATTAAGTGCAAAAGCTTATTCCTACCTTTGGACAATTTTCATGAATTTTTAAAATATGAGGGAAAATATTTTAATTAGTTTAGAGAACATTTCCTTAAAGTTCCATCTTCATGAACTAATTTCTATCATTAAAATAGTGTTTCTGTGAGCATACTGTGAGAAAGAATTTTTAAAAGATTATTTCTCTTTTCAAAATAAGCCACCAGGAAGTCTAAATAAGCCTCAGAAGAAAATCTAAGGTCTTTTTTTCTTTTTCTTTCCTAGCATGAAAAGAGAGAACCCTAGTTGTCCAGATTGGTTGGAAATAGAGCTGTATAACTCAATTCTCCAATATGTTTAAAAATATATAGAGAGCTCTCCGTTGAATTTTTTAAAACAAGCTCTTACACAAGAAAACTGCATGCCATGCAAGTGAATTAAATAAAAGACTGGAGACTAAATAATCAAATCAGCAAAAGCACATACCCAGTTTCATTTCTGAACAATTAACCAAAATATTCTTAATACAATATTTTTTGTCTTCCATTTTAGCACTTAAAAAATTCTGTAGAATCCACATTCTTAATCTTCGCATAGTTAAGTTCTATCACAAGAAGATACACCTGCTGTTACTGCATAGGAAAATAAACACCCAAAAATGTCCTTCTATCACCCAAGCATCTTGGGGTTATTTACGTTTTGAAATGATAACAGAAAGAACAGATTACCTGACACACAGAGGTAATACCTGTCCTGGACCGAGAACTCTATTTCAATAAACTCGTACAGGTTCTGCGAGAGTGGCTTAAACAGTTTCTTCTCCAAGTCCTCCTTTACCAATGATGACATTTCCTCCAGTTCCACTTGGCCTGAGGTTCTGGCTCCAGCTCACTCTTTCTCTCCTTCTGCTCCCTAGATTTCTTGTTTTGGTTTGCAGCTCCTATGTGAGTCCTGCCCACCTCCCAACCCTCACTTTCAACTTCTCATTCCTAGCCAGACCCAGGCTCCTGAGAGCACTCAGCGCGGTCAGACCCCTCAATGCGGTATCTGCCCAGTGGCAGCAGCGACAGCAGCCAAAATACAGCAGCGGCATCAGCCCCGCTGTCACTCTCCAGCATCCAGGCTCAAGGAGGCTGCTCTCTGGAGCTCTCCTGTGGTTTGGGGATGGGCAACATATTTATGAACACCAGCAGATACACTTGTGGAGTCCCCTGGTCTCCCTAGTCTAGTAACCTTTTCCGCTTTCACATCACTCTGCAGAAGAAGACCACTACTTCAGCTTGATTCCGTTACATAAATCAGCTGTCTGGCTCTATCGATTGGGATCATCTTCCATTAAGAACTTTGCTGTCATCGGCAAGAGAAAAAGCACCCATGCTTTCTCCTGACACTTCCAACAAGTTTCTTTCCCTCCTTTCTTTCCCCTCCTGCAATTCATTCAGACCTTTGTTTTCAAGAGAGTCAGCATCCATTCCTGCGTCCAAATTATTTTTTAAATGGGCTTACTTTAATGTTCTTCATTTCTTTACTCACAAAGAGAAATTTACTAGGTACCTACTGGAGCAAAGCATGGTATCTGTTTCTTGGGAGGGTGGATTTCCTATCCTCAAGAAGCTTATAATCTAATAGAGATGAGTACACCAAATAATTATCATAAATGTTTAAAAGTGATAAATGGCACAAGAGAAAGGAAATATAGAAAAGTTATTTGTACCTGGAGAGTGTCAGAGACAGTGCTATAGGGGAAGATCTGGAACTTGAAGGGTGAGAGGGAAGTATCCAAGTGGAGGAGGGGGAGATGCATATTCTGTGGAAGGAATGTTGGAACAAAAGCTCTGATCAATAAGCCGCAGGGGGTGCTTGGGAGGACAGGAAGCAGTCCGGTTTGCTTAAATTATATAATTTGTGGAAGTAAAATATAAGGGTGGAAAGGTAAATTGAGTGGGACCGGCTCATGAAGGGCCTTGAATGCCAGAATAATGCTTTGGATTTTATTCTATGGAAGTAGAGAACCAATGAAGATTTGGGGGCATTCATTCATTTGACAAATATTTTTCAAGGGCTGATTTTTGTGCCAGGCTCTGCTCTAGGACTGGGAATATGGCAATGAAGAAAATAGGTCCATTCCTTGCTCTTCTGGAGCTTAGTGGGGTAGATGGAAAATAAATAAACAAAGCAGGAGTCCATCCAAGGTATACTCAGCTGCAAGTAACAGAATACATGACATCAAGTTGTAAATAGGAAAGACGTTAAACGATCTCTCATAATAAGAGGTCTGCAAGTAGGCAGTCCCAAATTTAGCTCAGGACTCATAGGTGAGGGTCCCAAGTGCTTGCCATTTTCTGATCTTCCGTCCTCAGAGGCTGGCTTTTTATCCTCAGGCCACTGTTGTTCAGCTCCAAAGACAGGAAGAAAGAGGAGTGGTGGTTGCTGTCCTTGATTTCTCTTTTTGTCAGAAGCAAACTCTTTCTCAGAAACCAGCCAACAGGCTTTCTTTTACATCTTGGTGGCCATGACTGGGTCACATGGCCATCCCTAGGAAAGCCAGAATTTGTCATTTTTGGTTTCTATCACGGGAAGACAGATTTTCTAACAAGGAAGAAGGGCTGGGAATGACTGCAAGCAGGCAGCCAAAAATGTCGTCCGTGGCTCCCCTAAGAAACATTAATGGCATGTGTGACTAGGCTGAATCGTGGGGTCCTGGGTGAGACATTTGACTTTCTGAGCCTGTTTCCTTATCTGAAGAATGATCTCTAGGCTCTTTTCCTACTTTAATATCTCCTATTCTGTTTGTGATTCTGGGAATCTATTAAAATAATTTGGGTAAGAGGACCAGAGAACTGGTACTCTGCTTTTGGGTATGGAAAATGGAGAATAAGGAATGAATATAAGATATATTTGGATGATAAAATCAATAAGCTGTGGCACCTAATTGGATGTGAAAGGAGGAAGGTGGAGTCAATATGACACAACTACTTTCCACTTTCATCCAGAGAATGAGTAAATGGGTTCACATCACAGGAGGTAGGTTTTCAGAGAATTATTTTCAGCTTTCACTTAAAAAATTATTTTCCTATGGAGGAAAAAAAGACTGGAACAACTCATCAGCAATACTGTCATAAATATTTGATTAGATATTTATTTATGTGATTCTTTGTTTTATGTTTTTCTCCCCTCCTAGACTGTAAGTTTCATGAGGGCGGGAACCCATGTTTTTCCCACTTGCTATACAACCAGGGTATGTGACACACAGTACCTAGCACATCATAGGCATTCTTGCATTCATTTATTCACTCAATTTATTTGTAACTATTTACTAAAAGAACAAATAAGAATCAAATAGTCTTCTAATGACTTAAATTTTTTTTTGCAAAGTTGATTTTGCAGTGAAATATCTTCACAGCTGGAGCAGACAGCTGTTAGTGCTGGGGAGGGGGGAAATTTCCCTTTACCCCTCTTGAATTCTTCTGGCTGGTCTAATAATTAAATTGACGCAAGACAGATTAACAGGAGAAAAAAAACTATTTAATTCGTACACACGGAGGTCTCATAGAAATGGGACTCCTGAAGTGGCCAAAGCAGGCTGTATACATATCATTTTTAGATAAAGAAACAATTATTTGTGAAGATTTAACAAAACAAAGAGGATTGTGCTTGGGGTAGCAGACTAATGGAGAAGCAATAGGGTTTTTCTATATAGCTTTCTTAACCTTGAATTCCCTAACAGTGATAAGGATGCTTTCTATCCTCTTGGTATAGGGAAAATAACTTCACATGGGAAATTTATTTCCTGCTTTTAGGGGGAAAGAAAGGGGTCAGAGTTGGTTTTTTAACATCATTTTTTTCCACTGGCTGTTTCTCAAGTAACTTTAATTCAAAATAATCAATATGTCATTGAGGCACATTTTGGGGCAGCCTGTCTTGGGCTCCAACATTAGTCTTACCAATCACTTATCCTGTATCAATATGCATTTGCTCCTGTTGCCATGAACACATAGACTTTAGCTGTGAGACTCAAATACACTTCTGAAGGAAATAAATGCTAAAACTTTCTCTGGACGTTCTTAAGAAAAGAGTGGCTGTGCCGAGATAAACCCATGCACCTATGGTCAACTAATCTATGACAAAGGAGGCAAGGATATACAATGGAGAAAAGACAGTCTCTTCAGTAAGTGGTGCTGGGAAAACTGGACAGCTACATGTAAAAGAATGAAATTAGAACACTCCCTAACACCATACACAAAAATAAACTCAAAATGGATTAAAGACCTAAACGTAAGACCGGACACTACAAAACTCTTAGAGGAAACATAAGAAGAACACTCTTTGACATAAATCACAGCAAGATCTTTTTTGATCCATCTCCTAGAGTAATGGAAATAAAAACAAAAATAAACAAATGGGACCTAATGAAACTTCAAAGCTTTTGCACAGCAAAGGAAACTACAAACAAGACGAAAAGACAACCCTCAGAATGGGAGAAAATATTTGCAAACCAATCAACAGACAAAGGATTAATCTCCAAAATATATAAACAGCTCATGCAGCTCAATATTAAAAAAACAAACAACCCAATTCAAAAATGAGCAGAAGACCTAAATAGATGTTTTTCCAAAGAAGACATACAGATTGCCAAGAAGCACATGAAAAGCTACTCAAGATCACTAATTATTAGAGAAATGCAAATCAAAACTACAACGAGGTATCACCTCACACCGGTCAGAATGGGCTTCATCAGAAAATCTACAAACAACAAATGCTGGAGAGGGTGTGGAGAAAAGGGAACCCTCTTGCACTGCTGGTGAGAATGTAAATTGATACAGCCACTATGGAGAACAGTATGGAGGTTCCTTAAAAAACTAAAAATAGAATTATCATATGACCCAGCAATCCCACTCCTGGGCATATACCCAGAGAAAACCATAATTCAAAAACACATGTGCACCCCAATGTTCATTGCAGCACTATTTACAATAGTCAGGTCATGGAAGCAACCTAAATGCCCATCGACAGACGAATGGATAAAGAAGATGTGGTACATATATATAGTGGGATATTAGCCATAGAAAGGAACGAAAATGGGTCATTTGTAGAGATGTGGATGGACCTAGAGACTGTCATACAGAGTGAAGTAAGTCAGAAAGAGAAAAACAAATATCGTATATTAACATATATATGTGGAATCTAGAAAAATGGTACAGATGAACCGGTTTGCAAGGCAGAAATAGAGACACAGATGTAGAGAACAAACATATGGACGCCAAGCAGGGAAAGCGGGGTGGGTGGTGGTGGTGTGATGAATTGGGAGATTGGGATTGACATATATATACTAATATGTATAAAATAGATAACTAATAAAAAATAAAAAGAGAGTGGCTGTGTATTCCAGTGTGGTCTCAAGTAACATTGAAATTAGAGGCTCAGGAACCGACATAGTGAGCTTTCAGTTCCAAAATGAAATGTTTGCTATCAACTAAGTGTGTTTGGAAATGATTCGCCAGCTGGTTTGAATATTCTTAAAGTATCAATTTGGTTGACAGGGGAAAATCGTGTTAAAATGATAATAAATGTCTTTTTTAAGGTTTTAAATAATTCTATAAGAACGATCTATCAAAGCATTATCTACATTATAAAGAATCAAAAGAGTCAACCTTAAAAGAAATGCAAATAACAATTCATTGAAAGTGGAAATAAGGAAGACCTTTAGAGACCCTAATTTCTTTTTCATTTAAGAGGAGTACAGTACTAACCCTTTGGAAACATCAACAGAAGAGATAATAGAAAAAAAAACAAATAGACCCTCCCAAAAGTGTTCATTAAGATACTTAATAGAGATACTAAAACATTCTTTTCTCATAGCCAAAGATTATTCTAGTCTCTAAATTTATTTTCTGAAATGCTATAGAATTGTCAAT